GAGAACATGACGAGTTAATTTTACACAAGCATATCATGACTGCCAAGTTTTTTAGCATGTACCTGGACGATTATCAAAATGATATAGAACAGCTATAAACATTCCAATGTTTACTTGGGATATCGGTCAATTTAGATGACAATAAAGTATGATAAGTTGTATATAGAAAGATAAGCAAGATATTTCATTAGGAATAATAATGACAGTATGTAGAGAGTACGTTCATACCTGCACGCCTTGTATTTTACCGCTCTGATAAACATTTAGTAATTTCACTTGCTTTTACCGGCTTTCTCGTTGTGAGTTAGATAAACGTGAGAAGAACCAGCCCAATAGTGACTAGTCTAGTTTAAAAAAAAGTCGTTTCTTAGTCTATGTTAATGGCGATCGAGATAGTCAACACACGAGGAAAGCATGATTGATACTCTTACGATAGGACCTATAGCTATTACATATAAAAATATACTAATAATTCTAAATTAGATTGTGTCCTTCTCGGTACGTAGTAATAACTATAGCTACCCTAATTTCAGGTTTCTATCCTGACTGGACTTTGTGTACGTGTAGCAGCTGCATAAATTACCCCCCAGCCAACCTCATTAAACAGATGCAGAATGTCTCTATCCCTACGTGACGTTAATCTGCATGGATATATGTGTATCGATATACAAATATATATCGTACAATAAACTAATACAATTAATAAAACGTCGTGTAGCCTACGTTTTCAGTTTGTATTTACGCACTTAGGAGTTGTTTTTAAATGCCGTTGTCTGTTCCATGATCAAAACTTTTTTAAATATTCAGGATCTTTATAGATCTTTTGTAACATTTGTGTTCCTTTCTCTAATATGTCATCAGTTGTGTCGCCATCTACACGTTTATTAACGACAATATATCCTCCACGGGTAAAACGTGAGCAATCAACATATATGTCTTCGTTCACGGGATCACACAGGTCCAGTGCAGTCAGAGAATTGTAGAATTCCATGTCAATTATGTCACGTAGCCGACCAGACTCCACTATAGACAAGATTAATAGGCCAACTCGCTTTCCGCTATGTAGAAAAAATGAATACATGTATTAGTATATTATCTGAAAGTTCACATGTTTGCGGTTGTTTTTGGCCAAAGTAATGTTACATGACTACATAGCCTCGCCCATGACAACATAGTAAAACCTTTGTATTATTCCATTATTCATTCCGTACATTTCATTTAACACCTTTCTCAGACCTTTGACCAAAACTATAAGTAATTAATACATAAGCACTTCGTACTTACTTATAGGTCTGTGGGGTAGAACGTACGCCCGTGGCAATGTCGACTACTGCAGCCACCATGTCACCGTTGTTCAGGACATGAGATGATCTACGCACAGCAAAGACAGTTCTTCCATTGATCTCCATCAAGTGTACATCGCCCTGCTTTGTTACAAACATCTCAGCCTCGATGAATTGATCGTCGTAGCCATATTTGATAAGGTTTCGTGCCACCTGGTCGTATCTATTCCAAGCCTTGTCAACTGTAGCAGGGCTATGTTCGCTTGGGAACAATGTCATATGAATCAACTCTGGTTTACTTGGCCAGCGTTTTAAATCACCTGAAATGAATGTAATCTTGAAATCGTAGCTGGTTATGGTACGGAAAACTAAATCAATCAAATTTCCTTCATATCCAATTGGCATCACGACAAGGACCCTTTGAATACTAACACCCGGACAATCTCCCCAAACAATCACCCACGGACTTAACCCCGGAAAATCACCACCTGGACACTCACCCCCGGACAATAAAAAATAAACATTTACCCCCGGACAATCAAAAATAAACATTTACCCCCGGATAATCACTCCCGGATAATCACCCATGGACAATTACCCCACGGACAATCACCCCCGGACAATCACCCCGGATAATCACCCCGGACAATCACCCCCGGACAATCATCCCCGGACAATTACCCCGGACAATCACCCCTGGATAATCACCCATGGACAATTACCCCCGGACAATCACTCATGGACAATCACCCCGGATAATCATTCCAGGATAATCACTCCAGTACAATCAACCCCGGACAATCACCCATGGACAATTACCCCGGACAATCACCTATCGACAATCACCCCGGAAAATCACCTATCGACAATCACCCCCTGATAAACACCCCACGGACAATCACCCCCGTACAATCACCCCCGGACAATCACCCATGGACAATTACCCCCGGACAATCACCCCTGGACAATCACCCCGGACAATCACCCCCGGACAATCACCCCCGGATAATCACCCATAGACAATTACCTCTGGACAATCACCCCCGGACAATCACCCCCGGACAATCACCCATAAACAATTACCCCGGATAATCACCAACGGACAATTATCCCCGGACAATCATCCACGGATAATCACCCATGGACAATTACCCCCGGACAATCATCCCGGACAATCACCCCGGACAATCACCCCCGACAATCACCCCCAGACAATCACCTCCGGACAATTCTCCCGGACAATCATCCCAGGACAATCACCCCCGGACAATCACCCAGGACAATCACCCACGAACAATCACCCACCTACAATCACCCCGGACAATTATCTCCGGACATTTACCCCCGTACAATGACCCCGGACAATACAACTCACAGTATACGTACTGAATTTATAATCGTGTAACTCACACTAGTACTGTGATGAGTATTAAATCTCACATTTACTATCTTCGTATGAGAATACAATCTCTATCGCTAGCATTAGATAATCTGGCACCAGAACCAATAAAGGTATAACGTCATAGTTCCTACCAATGACCCAGTGATGAATTTTTCCCTTGCAGACGTAACCGATCACTGTAATGATGGATGCATCGTTCATGTACTTCATCGCAACGGCACCTCGTGAGTAATGAGGAGGGAACTGCTCCGGTTTCAGATGCTTCTGTAGGCGGTCCAGGAACCCTGTAATCTCCGTTGTTAACTCACTTAATGTCTCAATAACCTTTCTGAGTTCTTCTTCATTATAGGCAAGGTGAACGTCCTTTGACGCCACGGATGTTGTTAGCTTGATGAAAGCATGAACACCTGTGGTTTTTAGGATCTCCGACATTGCCGCATCACTCCTGTCAGCGCATGCGCGCAAGTCAACAAACTTGAAGGGAATCGGGTCTGGGTCAATGAGCTGATAGGTGTAATACTTGTTGAAGCAGTAAAACTCCGACATCAATGATGGACCACAAAGGTTAGGAAATTTTTCCGTAACAATAGATGCAATAATTATTGGTGCGTCGTCGTAAGTGAAGCTACCGACGATTGTATTCATGCGGATGAACTGTTTCAATTCTTCCATTTCAGATGGTTTAATGTCGTTGTTTGTATCCCCAAACACACTGAAAACGTGCACAGAGAACTTGTCGCGATATTTCTCGAGGTATTTAGCGATTCCAGGCTTTAAGAAATCACAGACAATCACCAATAACTTATTGTCGTTTTTTTCTCTTGCTTGGTTCATGATGATTGCTGCCAGGAGAAAATGTTTATAATCTCAGTACCATTACTGTGTTCGCTGCCTCATATATTACCAGCTAATCATACTTTTACCCGATGCTAGTAATAGGTTATGTATTAGAATGTATTAGCACAAGCCAAAGATAAAACTACTCAGTTGTTGAGACGCAATCCCTTAGTTTAATACAGACTCAAATACTACTACTACTAGTAGTAGTACAGTAGTCAGTAGGGTACTAGAGTAGTAGTACTACTAGTAGTACTAGTAGTAGTTGTTTTCTGTTGTTACCGGTATGTTATTGTTAGAAATACAATGACTAGGTATTTTTCACAAACATAGACCTTCACGTTGCCAACGCAGGACTGGGGAAATGATTAATTAATTTAGGTGGCGGTTGCGCAACCCTACCGCAGTGGATCCTTTTTTAACTGCTTCTTGTGCATACTCGACTTGAAATAAATGTCCATCGGGAGAGAAAACAGTAATAGCTCTGTCATAGCGCGACATCTTGATACTACTTGAATCCACCTATAATCAATAGAGCATCCCGTAACTGCAATCCAATGGGCAAATTTTATTTTAGCGACATATATACAATTTCTGCAACAATACAAACAAACTGCGAAGTGAACGATAGTGACCAGTGAGTTGTTAATCAATTAAATAGAATGAGTTAAAATTTACAATTATAGATCTATAGTTTAGGTATAGTCACGCACCTCGTTAAAACCACAAACCGATACGATTCGATACGTACGCAATCTATAGGTTCCCTCCCGTAATAAACGACAAAACGTCTCTCTAGACTAATTAAGTTATTAAATACTTTGTCTATATCCAAAGCAGTAACAGAAATTACGGCTATTAAAAACGATTCGTTTTGGTCGTTTTCCGTCACAAAATACGAAAAAACTGCATGTACGGCAGTCGTTTTATTATTTCGTTGCATTGAATTGCGTTTTGCATTGCAGTACATTTGAATTGCATTGATTTCGTTTAACTTTGAATAAAAATTAGACGTTGCTCATTTTTAACATCAAACTACTCGGGCATATCCGCATTTGGAAATGTTATATGTACTAATATTTTACATACTATATATTATACAGCACATTGCGCGATATCGCGCGCTATAATGACGTTGCGTGTATCAACGCGCACTGGGCAGCCAGAAATGCTGGCAGGTTTCCGTTTCGGTTTGGCTTTCGATGTCCGGCGTATTGCGGGTGTTTCTCGATTGCCACCGAGTGAGGTGCGCATGCGGCAAAAAAAGGTGTTTGTGTAGCAGTGAAGAAGTTAATATGTTGGGCACTGCATTAAAAGCAAGAAGAAAGAAATTAATATACTGCATACTGCATTAGAAGGAAGAAGTTTATATATAGGGTATACTGCGTTAGAAGCAAGAAGAAGAAAATGATTAATATATACTGCATATACTGCCTTAATATATACTGCGTACTGCAATATACAAGATAAGATAAAATAAGATAAGAGATAAGAGAGTTTATTTTATCACTTTCAATATCAGCAGATACAAGGATTTTTTTTTTTAACAAAATATAAATAACGTGCAGTGAAGGGATGACGAAAAGACCATACGGTCATCTAATCAGCCAACCCTTAGAGAAATTAATTAAGTATAAAGGCGTCTAGCTGTCATAAGAATAAGATGTACGATATGAGAAATATTTGAACAAAATGTTTGTATGATAACAATAAAACAAAAGCAAAATTGAACATAATTGGAAATAGAACAAGCAGCAGACATGAAGTTATATACAAAATATGTTGGACACATGAATGAAATATATGTAGTAATCAGTACAGTACAGTAATCTAATATTTATACATGCTAATTTAAAGAATAACTTAAGCGGCATATATTACATTTTATGTCAATGACATGATTAAATGTATAAAAAACTAATCAAAATAAATAACAAAACAAACAGAACGGTTTTTTCAAACTGAACATACATAGGTAAGAAAATAAATATGCTTATCAAGAATATGTATAAAGCAGTCCCATATAAGATAGGAAAATAATAAATTGTAAGCATATATAACACCTTTACATACGTTAGATTTGACAATTAATAATTACATGCAAGAGTTATCAGTATCAGAGTACAGTAAGCAGTATGTACAGTAATAGAATATTTACATGGTAATCAATAATAACTTAAATGGTCTATATTACAATTCATGTAATAATTGAATGTATAAAAAAAACAATCAAACTAAAGTACAAAACAACACATACAAGCAAAATATCTAGAATAAACAACAGGAGAATCAAAATTGACTATGTGCATGTAGTTAGTTATGAAGGAGTGTACTGTTGAATCAAGTGTGCTTTGTACGCATAGCTGAACTTTTTAATGGTACGTAATTTAGTAATTGTATTAATGGAATGCCAAAGTTTTGCTCCTGCAGATTTGATGGATTTAAAACCAATATTTGTAGATACTCTAGGGATAAAGAAAAATTGGTTAGTTGCTGATCTAGTCTGATAATGATGTGTATCAGAAGTTCTCTTAAAGTAGTTGCAAAACAATTCAGGGAGAGTCCCTGTATTATATTTATACATAAATTTACCTAACTCTAGATTATAGATGTCGATTAGTTTGAGTAAATACAATTCGTGGAAATAAGGGGTTGCAGGGTCTCGCCAGTGAGCAAATTTGATAAGTTTGACAATTTTATTTTGAGCTGTTTGTAGAGGTTTCAGTGTAGTTTTGTTGGCTGTACCCCATGTTAATACTGCGTATGTTAGATAGGGATAAACCAGAGAATAATATATAGTAGTAAGCAGATCTTGTGGAATATAGTGTCTATAAGTTTAGATATCATAGCTGTTGATCTTGCAATTTTTGTCGGAATATAGGTAATATGATTCTTCCATGTAAGACGATTATCAATGAAGATTCCTAGATATTTTATCGTGGATGTAGAATGAAGATGGTGGTTTCCCATTTTCACGCTAAAGTTGTTGTTCTGATTCTTTGAGTTAGAAATAATCATGAACTTAGTTTTCTGATAGTTGACTGATAGAATATTTGCTGACATCCTCGTGTCATTTTTTTAATTTCGGTATTTACTAAGTGTTGAAGATCACTCGTGTTTTTATTTGTCATAAATAGATTAGTATCATCAGCAAAAAGTCTGGTGTTAAAATTAGTAGCATTGGGGAGATCGTTAACATAAATAAGAAAGAGTACTGGACCTAGGGTAGATCCTTGAGGGACACCACAGGTCGTCTCAGCCAAGTTTGATTTGTATGAATTTATAGATGTATAGTGATAAAGATTAGGTATGATCAAAACAAATCTAATGCCAGACCTCTGATACCATAATGTTCGAGTTTTGTGAGTAATATATTGTGTTTAACTGTATCGAAAGCTTTGGAAAGGTCCAGAAAAATGCAGCAAGTATGCAATCGAGAGTCTAATGCATTAACCAATTGTTATCAAAGATTTCAGCTGTATAGCTAGTGCAGTACGTAGAGTAGTTTTTCCGAAACCCAAATTGATCTAAGAACATTATTTTGATTTAAAAATTTAGTGAGGCGAAGATAAATTAGTTTTTCAAACATTTTTGATAATGTTGATAAGAGAGATATAGGCCGATAGTTATAGCTGGTTCATTCTGTGAACCGGTTTTATGTAAAGAAATCATTTTGGCTATTTTGAGTTGGTCCGGAAATTTCCCACAGTTAATAAAGGAATTGAACAAAATTGTTAAGACAGGGAAAATAATATGAGAGGCCGATTTATAAAATTTAGCTGGTACTTCATCGGGCCTATAGTTGCCTTATTGATATTCATACTTTTAAAGATAGAGATGACTTCTTCATTTACAATAGGAGTCAAGAAGATGGAATTTGTAACTGGATTCAATAAAAAGTTCTGAAAAGGAGTATCCGTCTTTTTTATTTTACTATACATTGACACACCAATGCGTTAAAAGTAATTATTACATTTTTCACTAACTGCTTTTGAACTAGAAGTTGAACTGTTTTCAGGTAAGTGAATATCGGGATTAACAGAAACTTCATTTTTTAGTTTAATTATTTCATTGATTGTGGTCCATGTTTTTCTCATATTGTTTTTATTCACAGCTAGTAATTTATTATAATGTTGTTTTTTAGAGATTTATTTAATATGTGTTAACTTATTAAAGTATTTCTTGTATAAGCGACGCATAGCCAGGGGCGTAGCTACGGGGGGGGGGCACGTGCCCCCCCACAAATTTTCTGTGCCCCCCCACAAATTTTCTGTGCCTCCCTGGTGGCCCCCCACTAAAAATTCATGCTTGATAAAAAAAAATTAAAAACAATGCCGTTAGAACAGTATCATACAAAGAAAAGTTATATATATTGTGCCCCCCTCACGAAAATGTAAGCCCCCCCCCCAGTGCCCCTCCGCTGAAAAAATTCTAGCTAAGCCACTGCGCATAGCCTCAGTTTCTTTTAAGTAATGGGAATGAAATAGTTTTGATTTTAATTTAATTGATGTCCGTATACCCGCAGTGATCCATGGTTTCGCACAAAATTTTGATTTAGTCCTAGATAAAGTTATCAATGGTGCATGTTTATCCAGATTATTTTTAAATATAGCAAGAAACTGGTTGAAGCCTAAGTTAGGTTTAGTAGATTCAAAATTAACTAAGTCCAGTTCCTGTTGTAGACTAGCTATCACAAAACATTTCGTGATTGAAATTTCTCATTGAACGTATGACAATTTTCTTTTTTTGATCTACCCTATTATGTTGCACAAAAATAAAAATCGGTAAATGTTTGAAATTTCATGTGTAATTATACCAGCTAGAGTTTATAATATTGCTGAGATTGTTAGTGTAAACATGGTCAATAAGTGTTTTAGATGATTAGGTAATACGAGTTGGTTTAGTAATTAGAGGCATAAAATTGATTGGAATAGAGTATATTAATATAGTTGCTGGTTTGGGTGTTCGATTCCTGTTTCAAAAGATCTATGTTAAAATCGCCACAAATGTAATAGTTAGACCTACCTAAATAATTATTAAAATTTTGGAGAATATCGTTCATTTGTGTTTCAAAGGGCTGTATTTCATTGTTCGGGTGTCGATAGATGACACCAATTAACTGTATTTTTTTTTATTGGAGTTACCTAATGTGATCCACAATTGCTCAGCATGCACTCCTGTCAATGATATATCATGCCGCAAAGTATAATTAAAGTTATCTTATCGAATGGCAGAGCGGAAGTCCCATCTTGCAGCTCAGGAACACACCCGACTTGGACTGTGGCAAGTCACCAGCGGAGATCGTGTTCGGGAGACCCCTTCGCGACACCCTGTCGTTTGCAAAGCGTCTCCAGAAGTTTGGTGACACCGTCCACCTCGCGTCAGAGGTCCATCCGTCGTGGCAGGAAGCCTTGGCGGCCAAGGAAACCGCCTTACGTGACCGATTTGTTTGTCAGTCCGACGCATTGAACGCCCGGTCCCGGAATCTCCCACCGCTCCAG